TATGCTGTCTAGGTTTGCCATAGCTTTCCTCCCAAGGAGCAAGCGTCTTTTAATTTCATGGCTGCAGTCTCCGGCTGCGGTGATCAACTGCAGCCTGGTGTACTTAGATGTGTCTAATCTTAAATCTGTTGCAGTTTTGGATGCCGCAAATCCAAAATTATTCCTGAATTTCCCATTTTCAGCCAAATATCAATGGAAACAGATACAGACCTTCCCAGGAGCATAACTAGGAATTCTGGGATAAACATGTTCCCACCATCAGTAGTGGAAGGAAACTGTCACCCATCCTAAACCATTCCAGATAGCAAACAGGATTTGGTTTTGTTCTCAAAGTTGCTGTTTTAAAATACTGAACTGTAAAACTCTATAGATTTGGAAGTAAACGTTTTTTTAAAGTTTATGATCATAAAATGGTACCAACAAGCAGAAGATAAGAAAACAAAGAATTAGCATTGATTGTATATTCCTTCCCTCCAGGTTAAAAGAAGCAACTGATAAAAATAGGGGAGAATAACAACATTTCTAACTGATAAAGAATGAAAAAACTGCAAAAGTGCAGAGTGGAGAGTGATCAAAAAAGGAATAGAAAGAGCTAATAATTAAGTCCAAAGAATAACAAGCAAGGTGAGTTGAAAGAAGATATTTAACAACTATTAACATAATTCAAGAAGAGTAGCAAATTATTGAAAAGTATCAGAAGCAAGCAAAATGAAACAAAAATATCATTCATTTTAATGAGCAGCAAAGATTGATGGGAAAAAAGCCTAGAATGAAATTCAGAATGAAAATGGAAGATAGGACCAGAAAGACATCAGACAGACAGGAAAAGAGAAAAAGGGGGGATTCGGGGGTAAAAAGTGGAGAACTCAAGTAGAAATGAGCAGCAGAGAGATGAGATGAGAAGTAGAGCATCACCAAGCAACCAAAAGCATCAGACATGCAGGAAAGGAAAAAGTGACAGGAACTATTAAGCAAGTTCATCCATTTATTAACAGATGAGCAACAGTTTAATAGCCCAGAACAAGGAAAAAAGGGAGAGAATAAGAAAAATGCAAGATGATGAACCAGAACTGGAGGAGAAAATCCCCAGATCAATTAAGATAACTTATTGTTAGTAGGCAACAGAGGTATGTAAAACTTTTCAAATTCAAAGCAGCTCATTTGAATATGATACATGTTCTCCATTCTCACCAGAAATATTCACAAGACCTGAAATGGTCTTGGTATGAGTTCAGAATACCTGTTTCAAGCTCAAAACAAACTTGTTTCAAGCACTGAACACGTCCAGAAAGGTCATAATAGCATCAGGATAATTCCACTACAGTCAGAACACTTATTTCAAGCTCAAAACAGTTCACATTCTAATTTTTTGGATATCTCTATGAGTCATATAAAAAGGCTATTAATAATAAATAAATAAAATAAGCCACCCACAATACACCCAGATTAGTATTTTCAGTGCATTTTAGCTATACAATACAATTTACCCATATCCAAACGGAAATAAAATACAACATGAACGTTGTTTTGGATGTAGCTTGGATTTTTAATAAAGGAGTAGTTCCCAGGTACAATTGTGAAAATGTAGTGTTATTGTAAATGGAGACTTAACGCTAAAATAATACTGACATTTCATAACTGCACTTGTAAGGATTGAAAAGTTAACTGCAAAAAAAAAAAAGACTTAATAAAGACACTTGTTTTCCCACAGAGGCAGGGGAAGGAAAGGAAGTTCAGCGCCTGATTATGCTTTGAAGAACTGACCTTGTCTCCTCTCTAAAGTAACACTAGTTGCAGATTGCCTTGGTAAAATTAATCCTTTGATATGCGTCTGTTTAGAGTAACTTTCATTTAATTATATCTTTAATTTCTTTTGGGAACAAATACATTTGTTTAAGGAGCATCCTATTTGGGGAATGTTTACTGCCTTATTTGTAAACCAAGGTGCTAGCAGAAAAATAGCCTAAATGAAATAGTACAAATAAATATGAAAAGAAGTGACATGTTATACGATCCTTCTAACCAAGGAAGAGATCTTACCATAAGTGACTATCAATAGCACGAAGTTAACATTAGAAAATAGCCGGAAGATAGATTTCAGATAGGAATATTCCTCTGGAGCTGCTGACTGGATTGCAGCCTGGGCCCGGCTTGGAGGATATGGAGGCTTTTCCTGGAACACTAAAAAAAAAAAAAGGACAGAACCAGAAATGAGTAACAGCAGATTAAAGTAAATGCTTGATTCTGGGGTGTAGTGGAAATAATGGAGCCACAGGTGAAAAGACATCTGAAATAAAAGTATAAATGCCCAAACATTTTAAACCAAAGTTTTTAACCAACATTTGTTGGATATCTGTAGTGGCCCAGTTTGCAAATAACACTAAACTACAATGGGTGGATTTACACATCATACCAAGCTAAAACAAACAAACCACACTTTGGCATAGTATTATGTATTGGTAGTCCAGTTTAGGGACCAGAACTCTTTTTCTGGTCCCCATTCTTCTCCACCAGATTTCTGTTCTATTGGGCATCTGTTGTGTCCATGTGCCCATTTTCTATTCATTTGTTTTTATAATTCAGCACCTAATGAAGACTTTTTAAAGAGTTCCTTCTCCTTCCCAACAATTACTCTAGCTCTATCACCCCATTTCTGGTTTCCCTCAGGATTTTTATAACTCCCAGTCCAGATCGGATGCTCCAGCAATATAGCACCCACCTCGGCTGGTCGATATGCCCAATCTTCAACTATATTGAATTAATTATTTCTACTTACCCAGGGCAACTAAGATGAAAAGTATTGTTGCCACACCGGCTGTGATAAAAAACATGCTGCCAATATGGTGAGCCAGCTTCTCCTTCTCTTCCAAGTTGGGAACCAGAACTGGGGGGAGGAGGAAACCAACTGCAATGCCAAGCTAAACAAACAAAATACATCAGGTAGAACTTGTCACTTCCTAAATATACAAATGCCTTAATAGAATAGCTAATATGCTTTTAAATGACATCATCTAATATTTTAACAAGAGTTGTAGGAAAATATCATTGCACTATTGACCCTAAGCCTTCTAGTAACAACATCAATAAATTTCATATAGTTTTGAATTTTACTATTATCATTGTATTTATGGGAACTTATATTTATACCTTTATTATAAATGTCTAAAAGGTAAACATCTTAAATCTACAAACAGTCTTAAGAAATTATCATTCATGTGTGTGTGTGCGTGTGTGTGTGTGTGTGTATGTATATTTAATGTATCACTGCTCAATTCTACAAGACCGAGAATAAAGGATTCTCGAGGATTAAAATACTGTAACAACACACAAAATGATGAAACATCAGCAGGAATGATAAGGGAACAAAAACCTTGCAGGAGCAATGCAATACAATTTTGTACAATACAAAAGCAATACACCAATCAAGAGTGAGCAAATACTTGGCAGCCTTTCCAAAACTTCCAAGATGAAGCATCAATGAATTTATTTTTGTTAAAGAGTTTCTGGGGCTGCCAGCAAAGTGATCCTATGAAATTTTATATACCAAAAGAACTATAATCAGAATTTATTCATATAGATCTCAAACAGCTACTAAGAATGCAGGGCAGGTGGCACTTTCTAAGACACTATATAAGGTACATTATCTGAATCTACTTTCTTGAATATGGCATCCTGCTGATGAATTGGATTAGAATATCCAAAATGCCAGTGCTGTCGGAGTTGTAGTCTAAAATACCTGGAGGGAATTAGCTTGGAGAAGTCTGGCCTAGCAGAAGTATCTGATTTGGAAATGACATCAATAAAAGAAATTCCTCAGGAGCTGCAGTTCATCTGCTTTTGGAGTGGGTGTTACTGAGTCAATGAAAGATTATGTTTTTCCTTTCTGCTCCTCCATGACCTCCTCAGGTAAAATGGAGGATTAGGGAACACAGTGAACCCTTTAAAAGGTAAACAGAACAAAGTTAAGAGGCCATTTAGGTAAATTCTTCAAAGGATTAAAAAAATTATAATATGCAGCATTTTTCTACAGGACGAATAAGAGAGCTATCAATAGCCTTCTGAGTGCCTGGAGCTTCACTTCAAATCCCCTCCCTTTCCCCATTACAGTTGTACCATAATCAACATATGTGCTCATATTCACTTTCTCAAATACCCTCCATAATATGAGAAGAGGTCAAATTCTTATCTGTTCCACTAAAAGATCTGGCTTCATAGGGCTTTCATGAGTGTTAAGAACTCTTAAGATGCAATGGCAGTTTCAATAGTGACAGTTTCAATTGCAGCCAATAAAAAAAATTGTCCCTTGGTCCACTGTTTTTATTATTGACAACCACCTAGCTCCAAGATAGTGGCAAACTGAAACCAGCCATAGCATAGAATATCATTCCATCTAAGAATATGGCCTCAAAATAGCCATAAATTCCCAACATTCTATAGCTATCATCATCATCATCTTTATTAAGATTTAATATAGCCATCCATTCCAGCTTGGGTGAACTTGGAAAGCTTTCAGAACAACATATTAAAATACGTGTTTATAAAATGAAGTTTAAATGTATAATGGGACTTGACTATAATCTCTCAAAAACATGGCTTTGCTCATTGTTGTTTTTCTTTCTCCCAAAATCATTGATAAGTTATACTAAAACAAATGACAAGAATAATCATTGAAAACAGAGGAAGCTTTAGGGAGATCCATTAGAAATAATAAGGTTGAGTACTGGTGACTTCATGGATATGAACAAGTCGTTTTCTTGTCAATAATATGGAATTAGGTGTTGCTCCCTGGATATTTCTAAATCTAACCTACAGTCCTGGTATTTCCTGATGTTCTCCCACCCAAATACTAATCAGGACTAACTTAAGTGGCCAGGTGCTGCCAGCTACTGAAGCTCTATATGGCCAATCTGCATTGAAATAAATTAAAGAGATGGATCCTGAAATAAAACAGAACCCTCTTACAGAAGAAAAGGATAAATATTCCAGCATTATGAACAACAAAGATTTGTAGCTGAAGCTATTAACTCTACAACATGGGTTCCTGTTGAGCACCATCTAAATAGACCTCATCACAAACTATAAAACAAACCTTAAACTTGCATCTTTAATAAGAACTACAAACTACATCAATTCTCTTATTGGAAAGCAGGAAGAACTGCAAAGAGTCCTTCAGGACTGAGATAGTTAACAAAAGGAAGAAGTGTGTAAAAAAATAAATAAACAACAATCAACAATGCTCACAAACTACAGTATATATTGATATACAGCAAGGGACTAGTGCCAACTAAAGCTGGCTAACTGAACAGGTCTAATTCTTTATTAGGAAATGATAATGGACTGAAATATTTTATTCCAGATCCATTTGTTTTTTTCCAACTGTAGCTTTCTGTCAAAGGAAACTTGAAAGACAATCTTCAACAGACTATCATGGTCTCTTGGTGTAGACTCTGACCATTTGAGACTAGTATCCAAGCTGCCTGATATTAAATTACTTACCCTGAACAAGGAGGAATCAAAGCTCCTATTTCCACAGGCTGCACTTTGAATGCGGAATCAGAATGCCTGTTCTTCTGATTTTCTGTGACAACTTTGTTTGTTATCACAAGCAGTTTCACAATAGCAGACTAAAACATAATTGAAGGTCAGAAAACTAAAACACAGAGTACCTTTTTAAAATATGTGAGAAAAGCGTAGTGAGAAAAGTGTTCACAAATACCAAGTTGCTCCCATCTTCTGGCTTTGGAAGAGAAATTCAAATTCTGAAACAAACTTGTGTCACATTTCACTTTTAAGAAACAAAGTCGTCTCTATGGTAGAACCAAGAATACCAACTAAGCCTACAAATCATTAACTCCTACAATGTTTGTTGGAGGTCTTCACTTGCCAGACACTGCCCTAGTATCCTTCTTTATCATCTCATATCCTGAAGGGCTTTGGAATTCACTACAGTAATATACATGCTATGCAGCCTGAAAAGGATCTAATTCACCATTATCTTTATATGGATGAAAGAGGCACATTAAAAATGAACATCTAATACAAAAATATCTAAGATGTTACATTGTGCAAGAAAAGGCTATTTTCAATATATTGTCTATAATCCTTTCAATGCAAAAAGGAAATTGCAAACTGCTTAATACATTCACCCTTCAAAACATTCCTGTAAGTAGCAAGTAGCCACACCAAATGCCTCAGCAAATGTAAGCAAGCAGAGAAAATTGATGATGCACTGATATATTGTATTCTGCTTCAGAATAAGGGTTCAGTAACAATCCTTAAGGGTCATAATCCAATATTACCCATTCTGTTCGTAGGCCCCTCCTTGCCTCACACACTCAAAATGGGAAGATTTTGAGAACACACAAAGGCTGGCAGCAGAAGGGGAATCACTCTTCCTCTTGCTTCTATTTATGAAAGAAACTTCAATGGAAACAGATCAAGCTTTCATTCAAGTATGACAGAAGATTTTCTTAGTTTCTAAAGTCTTCCCACCTCCCCCCAAAAGAAAAGATGACAGCCAGGTTATTTCCCTTATAATGTAAATAATGTAAATAAAGTACATATATTCATATCCCAAGAATGTAAGAACAGTCCTGTTTGTTCTGATCGAGGCCCATCTTAGTCCAGCATTGCTTCTCACAGTGACCAACCAGATGCCTCAGAGTGCTTGCAAGCAGGAGACAGAGAGACAAACCTCTCCTACCATTGCTCCATTGCAACTGGTATCTGGAGGCATGTCAGCCCCAATCCAGAGGCAATACAGAAGGTCCCCTACATATGAACTTTCAAATTGCGAACCTTGGCCGATACAAACAAGATAGACCCGAAAGTCGGGAGAAAGCGTGACGAAAACTAATCCTTTCCCGCCATCTCCTGACTTCTGGTGCCAACTTCCAGTCCTGACTTCTCGCATGGTTGGTTGTGTTTGGCGGGTGGCGACTGCAAATTGCTTAACTGCAAATGTCTGCAATTAAGCGCAAGAGTCCTGAAGGGGAGGGTGGTAGCGCGAAGAAGCAGCAATCCATTACAATGCTCATGAAGATGGAGGTATTGAAGAAAATGGGGGGGAGGTGAAGATGTCGAATGTGGCATGTTCCTACAGCATGAATCATTCCACTATCAGGACAATCATTAAGAACAAAGACAAGATCATGGAACATATGAAAAGTTCAATGCCTATGCAATCCACAATAATGGGCAAGAGGAGAGGAAAAGTAATGGAAGAGATGGAGGCGCTGCTCGGCATGTGGGTCGAAGACCAGCATCAGTGACGTGTGCTGCTTAGCCTAATGATGATCGAGGAGAAGGCTAAAAGCTTATTCCATGACTTACAACAGAAGGCCGGTGAGGTGCTGCTGAAGAGGCATTTGCTGCAAGCCATGGGTGGTTCCACCACTTTAAGGCTCGTATGAATCTTCATAATGTGAAAATCAGTCATGAGGCAGCAAGTGCAGACGAGGCTGCAGCCAAGGAGTTCCCGGAAACCCTCAAGGAGATCATCAAGGAAGATGGTTATTTGCCCCAGCAGATATTCAATGTGGATGAAATGGGGCTTTATTGGAAGAAAATGCTGGACAGAATGTACAACAGCAAGGAGGAGAAGACCATGCCAGGCTGCAAAGCTGTGAAGGATAGGCTAACTGCTGCTAGCTGGCAATGCATCCCAGAAGTGGAGAGGTACTGCCACGTGAAAAATATCGAGTTCAAGATTCTGCTGATATTGGATAATGTCCTGGGACATCCTCCTTACTTGAACGATTTCCATCCGAACGTGAAGGTTGTGTATCTACCTCCCAACACCACCTCACTCCTGCAGCCGATGGACCAGGGAGTGATAGCAAATCACTTAAAAAAAATACTATCTTTGGCACACATTTAGGCAGGCAGTCCAGGCAACCGAAGTGGACTCACAGATGAC